TTGAAGAAGGGGAGGGCGTGCTGGGCGGACTTGGCGATGAACCGGGAAAGTGAGGCGAGCACGCCGTTGAGAGATTGGATGGACTTCTTTGTGGTGGGTGTGGTGATTTCTGAAAAGGCGTGGCATTTGTCCGGATTGGCCTCGATCCCACGCTCGGTCAGGTAGTAGCCGAGGAACTTGCCTGCGCGGACACCGAAGGTGCATTTCTCCGGGTTGAAGCGCATTCAGCATGTCCTCGCGGTATCGAAGACCTTCCTGAGGTGGGTCGTGTGGTCGTCTTCTGTGCAGGATTTGACGATCATGTCGTCCATGTATACTTCGAGCATGTCGCCGATTTCGCCCCGGAAGACACTGTTCATCATCCGTTGGTATGTGGCTCCGGCGTTCTTTAGGCTGAAGGGCATTACGTTGTAGTGATCGTTGCCCGACGCCGTCATGAAGGTTGTGCTCTGTTTATCGTGCTCGGCCATCGGGATCTGGTTGTACCCCGAGTATGCGTCCATGAAGGACAAGAGCCTGAAGCCCGCGGAGTTGTTGACGAGTTTGTCGATGTTGGGGAGGGGGTAGGCGTCCTTAGGACATGCCTGGTTGAGATCGGTGTAGTCAACACACATGCACCATTTTCCACTATTATTTTTAACGAGTACAACATTGGACATCCAGGTTGAATACCGGGCTTCCAAAATAAAATTTGCCTCTAGGAGGTCTTTTACAGCTTTCTCGGCTGCTGCCGATTTTTCGGGGGAATGTCTACGCCTATGTTGAACTACGGCCTTCGCGGTCGGGCTGATGGACAGCTGGTGGCCGGCAACCTCGGGGTCAAGTCCGGGCATTTCTGCGGTGCTCCATGCGAAGAGGTCGGCGTTCTCGCGGAGGCAGGCTTGCAGCTGTCTTTTCGCGAAGTCTGGGAGTCCGGCGCCGATCTTCACGGTTCTGCTCTTGTCTTTCCCGAGTGTGATGATCTCGAATTCTCTGTTCGGGATGGGGCGTGCCGGGTGAGTGGGCTGCCCGTTGGCTTCGCTGTTCCTTATTTCGTGATCGCGCTCCTCGGTGAAGCGACTGTCGAGGTCCACGGATCCGACCAGCTCCTTTGGTTCGCTTTTTGGCGCTATGATTGGAGTCGCCCTCTTGGTTGCTGGATCGATGGTGTCCAAGCCTTTCAACGCGGCCTCGAAACACCTCCGGGAGGCCTCGATGTCTCCGTTAAGGGTCACCACGGCCCCCCGTTTCGTGTAGTATTTCATCTTCTGGTGGACGGTGGAAGGTACCGCGGTGAGTTCTGCTATCGTTGTTCTGCCTAGGATACAGTTGTAGAGGGACGGGAACTCGATGACTAAGAAACGGATGCTGATCTCCTTGGCCATTTCCTCTTCTCCGAAAGTGACTTTCAGCTCCACGTACCCCCAAGGTCTCGTCGTCGTCCCGTTGAACCCCTGAAGGTCGGAGCCTACGTAGGGGGAAATGTTGGATTCGTCGAGTTGGAGGGTTGTGAACAGGTGCGTGTACATGATGTCCACCGAGCTGCCTCCGTCGACGAGGATGCGCCTAACGTCGAAGTTCGCCATCCGCGCCCGTATGAGCAGGGGAATGTTGGAGTTGGGGGATCCCCCGGGGAGTTCCTCGAGGTAGAATGTGATCGGATTGGATCGACCGCGGAATCTTTCGAGCGTGCTCATTTTTCCAGAGTTGCTCGTGATAAGCTCGTCGAAATTTCTTTTCACTGATCCTATGGACAGGCTCCTCGTGGCGCCACCCGAGATGACCATGGCTCTGGCGAAGTATTCCCATCGGCTGGTTGGCTGGACTGGCTCGCTGGGTAGGTCGGGGCCTTCGAGGAGGCCGAACTCTCTATCCGCGAACCAATCCTCGGGGCGGCTGACACACAACGCGACCTGGAGTCTGCTGTCGCCATCAGAAGAGGGGAGTTCCTCGATTTTCTTGGCCTCGGGGGCTCACCCCCCGGGTGTATCTCTTTAGGTGGCCGTCTTTAATCAGGATTTTGATCGCGTCCTTGAGATGGATGCAGTCTTCGGTCACGTGCCCGTGGCTCCTGTGGAATTTGCAGTATTTCGATTTGTCCACGTTGGGTTTGGGGGGTGTCGGCCGAGGGAGGCGGACACCTCCCTGGACAAATTTGGTTTTGGCGCACTCGGCCAGTATGCGCTCGCGGGAAGCGACTAAGGCCGTGTATTCCGTAAATCGACCGGCAGGGCCGCGTTGTTCGCGAGGTTCGCGAGGGCGATCTTCCCGACAACGGTCACCTCCCCGTCGATGGTTCGAGGCTCCGTCATCTCGGTGCCCGCGAGGGGCCTCCCTGTCTCGGGTGTCTCGTGCGGAGTTGGCTGCTTGGGTTTCCTCGAATCGGATATAATGCGCGACTCTGTCGAGGAAATCCTGGAGGGAGGTTGGTCGGTGTATGCCTACGGCCTCGTAGAACTTGGAGTCGTGGTGTAGACCCTGCTCCATTAGGTAGCGCTTCATCTCGTCTGACGTTGTTACCTGCACCGCTTCCCGGGTGAATCTTTCGATGTACTTTCCGAGAGGTTCGTCGGGGCCTTGGATTATCGCCCCGAGGACGGCCTCCGTCTTTGGATGGCGCCGGGACGCTGTGAAGTGTTTTGAGAACAGGTCCTTCAGGACTCTCCACGACGTGACCGATTCGGGCTTCAAACGTTTGTACCATGTCATGGCGCCTTTCCTCAGGGTCGTTGGGAATAGTCTGCACTTGATAGCTCCCCGGACGTTTCGATAATCGAGCATGGCCTCGATGTCTTCCAAGTGATCATCTGGGTCGGATGTGCCGTCATACGTCGATAGTGTCGGGGGCTTCTCCATCCCGTGGGGAATGGGGGCGGCCATGATTTCTCGGGACAACGGAGTGCGGTAGTCGTCTTCGTCGCTGAAAGCGGGTGACTGAGGAGGAGACGAGCCGTTTAGAATAGGCACCTGGTTTCGGGTCCTCGGCCTCCTGACTGGGGGTTCGACGCGCGGATTCCTGGTCGGGATCGCCGAAGTGTTCTGGCGCCTCCCGTGAACTTGTATCGCTGGGGATCTGGTGCGTTCTCGCACCACTTCTGTTCGGGGCCTCTCCAGCCGAGGTCGGCGATTTCGGGGTTGAGGCGAAGGACTCCTCGAGCCCCCATTCTGGTCTCCCCGCGGGGTGGATCTTGGGGGGCCTTCCCGCTCCAGCGCTCCAATTCGTGCGTTCTGCTGGAACAGCAGCTGGTTCGTCTGGTTGATGGCCGCGAAGAGGGCGGCCACCGTTGGGTCCGCTCCCGCTGGGATAGGAACGGGTTGGAACGCCGTTGGGCTCGGGGGCCGGTGGTCGGCCTAGCGCAGCAGTTCTGCGAATGACGGGGAAGCAGTCTGGTCGTCTCTCTCGTCGGTATCCGTCGGACGTGACGTCTCCATCTGCTTGCTTCCGTTGGCGGCGGCGTTGAGCACGAAGTCGTGCATGGTATCATTGTGGTGTGGGCTAGCCATGACCGTATAGTGCTGGTGAAACTTTGGTTTTCTGCTCAGAATAACGGGGAAGTTTCTGTTCCCACAGACGGCGCCACTGATCTGACCTGATCAGAAGGGGATCACGGGCTCGCCACACGCTGTTGGACTGCTACCTGTTCACCGGTGATGAGGAGGAGAAAGGGGTGTACCTGCAAGACACTCTGATGCCAAAGTAAGGAATTGGGCAGAGTGAGAGCAAAGTACAGAAATGGGGTAAGAAGTGAATTACCTGACCCTCTTGAGGAAGAGGGTATTTATAGAGAGACCCCAGCGCTGGGCCAACGGTAACTTGCGTTGGGCTGGATTGCCAGACCCAACCCAGGTACTGCTAGGGCTTACGTGTCGTAGTGAAGACCAGGATGTGGTCTTCACCCTAGTCCAACTGCTCCTTGATCTCCGGAAAGTGGGTTTGACCTGCTCTTTCGGAGGTGGGCAGTTGGTTGGTGACGTGTCTCCGCGGAGGGGAGCTCGCGAGGTTCATCGGAGTCGTGTCGTTCTCCCCGAGGAGGGGAGCACACGTGGACGTGGGAGAGCCATGGGCTCTTGCTCGGTGGGATGGGGAATATCGCCCGCGGAGGCTGTTCTGCCCGGTTAGGGGGAGCGCCGAGGATTCTTAGAAGCGCGTTGTCCTGCTTGACAGGGAGCGTATCCGGCCGTCCGACGGGGGGTGCGTGCCCGGTTAAGCTGCCTCACTTATTGGGCCTTGTCCGTTATTGGGCTGGACCGTGAGGCCGGTCCCAGACCAGAACAGTGATATTATACAACATTCATAAAAAGAATTAATCAATCAACACAATTTAAACCATGTCTTTCTTGTATTTTTCTCATCTTAAATGCCATGTAGCGAAGATTCATAAACTTTAGTGGTTAAATGTGGTTTTCATTGGATAAATGGTGTTGATGGTGAAAGACTAGTAGTGATAGGTTAGAATTTAATGTTTTATCTTCTAAGCATAGGCGTATAACTATTCTCTTGGTTGTCACTCAAACATAGATATTTTGATTATCTCGACCATTTTTGGCTAAACCTTCATTATTTGGGTGGTTAGAGGGCTTTTACTTTTTAAGTTTTTTATTTCTTAGCGTGTATATTTTATGCTTGTTTTTTATGGTTATAATGTGTATCATTTACTTTGTTTTTCCCCTATGTTGGAATGATAACTTGTTTGCGTTACCTTTTTGGGTACATCTTGTTAGAATTTAGTAAATGACATCATATTTGCTATATACAGATGATAGCTATAAGCCTTACAACAATGTTATGTTCCCAATCTTCAAGTTCAAATTTTCATAATTTCTAATTTACTAAATATAGTGGTTTCTTTCAATCTTAACAAAATAGCACCATGTATCTTTTCATTTGAGCTGAAATTATGATTAAATGTTGCTTATGCATTCACAAACATGAATATTTATATTAAAAACACAGAATTGTTTTGTTACTATTATTATTATCATCGTTATAAATACATTCTCATTAAGAAATCTACATTTTTTCAGTTCTGTATGATAGATAGCCTATCTATGAACTGCATGAAATTATCATCTGTATCCAGCATGCTAATTCTTGCATATTTCGGGCTAGCCCCAAATTGTTTACCGCTTCTAGTCAAAATCTTGTGTCCGCGAAGGAAACTTTCGCAGTCTTCTATATCTCCTTCACACTTCAGCCAAACAAAAGCTGCAAGGATTAAAAAAAATAGTAAGAACTCATATCTCGGCCATCAACCCTCGTTAGTAAGACCCTTGCTTGTTTACCTGGTTGAGTCTTGGACTCCTGGTTGAGAAAGTTGCAGAATCCAGAAGAAAAGTCTGGCAAACTGAATCGATCGCCACTATCAACAGCTGCTCTAAGTAGTTTCCATCTTTGCTCCATCATCTTGTAGCTGTATTTGAAAAACGATTCTGAATTTTCTTCTTTGCAACTGTCAGACACTGTTTTTAAAATCTTGGCAGCTCTGAGTTGAGAATCTTTGGAGACGCCAATTGTATTTAGTTCGATGAATTTAGTCATTTTCTTTGCTACCTCGCGGTCTTTCACAAGAGCCCACCTACATGTCAAAACCATAAGTTCATAATCCGATTTATTAAGCTTTTTGATAATAAAATTGACCACAATTTGCAATCATGTATCATTTGCTGAACTAGTATTTGAAATTTCGAACAATACATTTTTTCGTAATTGAGTGTGACAGTAGTATTATGAGCTTACCCTATGCGCATTCCAGCGTGACCCGTGCTTTTAGAGACAGTGAAAAGAGTAAGATCATAATCTGAAGCAAATGATATTGGAGTGTACTGAGGCCAATAATAGGCAAGGTCGTGAACCAATAGTCCTTGATTTCGGTTCACTACTGATTGTCTTGTATATCCATCCGGGTTATTAGGAGAAGTAACCATCTCAATGTAAGGACCATCTTTGTCAAAAGTATATGCATCACCAGCCCATTTGTAAAGACCCGATTTCTGGTAATCTGCCATTGATGGATACGACTGCAATTCGCCAATTCAATGTTAAACCATCAACTGATCATCAAACTAAAAACCAGTAACAAAATTCTATGAAGCATAGACACATGACACATATACAACGGTAATACTTTGAGAAAATGAATTAATTGAATTTAACCATGTGGGCGAGTATTGGACAGTGACAAGTATGGTACATTATACACACTTTTAATTTAGAGTTTCAATGCTGCATAATCATAAAAAGTGGTTTAGTAATGATCAATCATCATAATAATCTACACAACTACTGGTCTACTACTATATTTACAAAATATATTAAACACCTTTTATGTTGTTCTCCATATATTTTAAATACACTTAAATTTTCCACGGATGTATTGTTGATTCCTTTCTGAAAAATGCAGCAAGATAACCCATTTCTGCTTTTATTTTTTAATGAATAGAAATAATGATAATATAATTTCGATTCAAAATTATGGACAGTATGAAAGCTTAAGTTTATGATATTTTTCAATTGATAGCATGTGACTGTTTCATGTGATCAGGTGCAGGCATGCGATGGTATATAAAAGAAAGGAAGACATTGATGAAGACAGACAACTAGAAGAGCCAAAAGAGGATGCAGATTCGGTAACCAACACATGCAAAAATTCCTTAAAAACCAAACAATTCCCAAAGTCCTCTCAACCAATCAATCTAATAAACTTCTCAACTATGTAAACAAAATAAATAATTTAAAGGAGATGCAACGTCGCAGGACGTGCCAGTAGGTAGATAGCTCAACTGGTATAATACGTGTCAGTATAGGTGGGGTAGCTCAACCGGTATGTATTAATTTATCTTGATACATACATTTGCATTCTATTCATTACTATATTTTCCTACTTTTGGTTAATGAGCACATGAGAGGATTCCAAAACCAAAAACTAATAAATGCAAGAGCACATTTTTATTATTATTACAGGAATAATGACACATGAGAGAGTGAGTTACCGAGTAATAAGGTACGGCAGAAACAACGCTGATGGGTTGAGCAGCATCAGGGTTAGAGAGAGCATAAAGAGCAGCAAGAATTAACTGAGAGGAACCTGTTCCAACAACAATGTGGCGACCTTCTGTTACAGCATTTCCAACTACGTTATGTAATCTCACTACTTCCTTTGCGAATTCCGGCTCAAGAAACCAGCACATGCTTGATGGATCGGAGAAGTAACTTATAGATTGCCATCCTGGAATTATTATTGTGGTCCTGTCTCCCATTTGTCGCCAATACCGCTCATACATGGTTGGATCGCCTCTGCATGGATAATTAATTAACATTAGTAGCTTTCATAGTCAATTTCATATGCAGTATTTTATTTTAAATACTCAGTGTCAGAACTGGTAACCTCATCAATATCATTAACTATTTCCAACAAAACATCTGTTTAAATATTAATTTAATAACTGGAAAAGAAAGAAATATTAAACATATGTATCAACCAGAATCATATTAGTAAAAATTTAGAAATATTGAATTTAAAATTGATAGAATGAAGTACGCAAATTCTAGCTCAAATGAAAAAAAAATGATATTACTAAGTTGAACCAATGTCAGGCCTCAAACTCTAACTATCACGGTTGTATACTGTGTGTTTCTAATGGTTATGATCATTTACGGTTATGATAATTTTGTCTGCAGAAATCAATATTGCTAAGTTAGAGATGTATTACAATTTGTTTCTTATGAGAATTGAATTTTAAAAATAATAGATACACATAGCAATCTCAAATTTTTAGAGATCTGTGTATACTATCATAGTTTAACCATGAAAAATTAAAAAAAAAAAAAGACTATTTAATCATGATTTAACAGTTATAAATATTTTATGAGTCCTATTTAACCATGAGTTAATACAAATTTAAAATCCCGTCTGGTTGTTGCACGTAACAAAGACGGCCCTGGAAATACATAAAGCATAAAAGAAGTCATGATTATTTTTAATGTTTAATAAAGTTTGCAGGTACTGCAAAGTGTATAGAATAATACTACAAAAAAACCAAGGCATAAGTAGATGTAGGGCATGATCTGAGATGAAAATTGTGAAAGAACGTGATGGTATCCAGAGTAGGGTAGATTGGAAGAACAGTGAAATCAGAGTGGGGCAGGTAAGAATATGAAGGAGTTAATGGAAAGGAACGTTGTGGGCAAGGGCATTGAAAAAATTGAAAGGGTAAAGAAAAGGTAGCAGGTCCATCTATATGATCCAAAAATTGTTACTATATGATTGTTAGTACATTTTACTACAACATCAATTATATGAACCCATGTGGTAACAGAGAATAGCACAGATATTTTTCAGTAAAGTTTTTCTTTTATTTATTTAACAGAAATAGTATATGATAAAGTATGAATATAGTGTTGGTGCATTTGAGAGGTTCATTGGGGCGACCAAATATATTGTAAAGAAAGAAGATCTGTATTGAAAAGCCCAAGGAGTGGTTATGGCAAAAAGTTCGATGCCGTATGCGATCAGGCACTTGGCCCACACCGTAATGATATGTATTCTACCAAGAATAACCTACTGTTATTATTCTTCATTTAGTATGCATTGGGCTCCTACAACACATTGCATTATTAATATTGATTAATTTATAAATGAATTTAATTTATATGCATTGTAAAATAATTATACACGGTAATTTAGAATTTATAGTGATGGATTACAGTGCAAAATTATTTACAATATTAATGCATATTCCATTTTCTTTTTATAAATAAACTCCCTCCATTTTAATTTATATGAGACAAATTATTTTTTTATACATTGAATAATTAATAATTAATGTGTACTTCAATTTGGTCCTTGTATAGTCTATTTGAAAAGAAAAAAGACTTAGAGTAAGGAAAGAGTAAGTTGTTTCTTTCTATAACAAAATATAAACATATTGATGCAAAAAGTTATAGTAGTATATATTTTGGTCTATATTTTTTACTAAATATATTTGACTTTTAGATTTTTGTATATATTTGTTAGAACAGAAAGTAGTACCACCAGTTTTCAATATTGAGTATTAAGAATATTTTATTTACCTCCCTAACATAAAAATATACAATCATTGGTCAAATAGCAATAGTAACCGTCCATGGTGCTACACTAACCTATATAGACAGCACAAGCTAAACCAGCATTAGTTTATTGTAGTAGCGTCTAGTGCTTGATAAAACATAATCATGAACTGTGCGCTATTTAGAGTATTTAACTCTACTTTCAAAAGTTATCCATTAAAATATTCAAAACATTATTAAACTCATTTAAAATATAGAAGTGTATTGCATTTTTAAATGAATAAAAAGAAGATATTCTCTCCCGTCTCAAAATATAAAAGAAAAAAGAAAAAAAGTGAATAATTACCTTTCATCTTTTTAAGCTAAAATTAAATATAAATTAATTAGTCAAATTGTTATATTTTTATTCTTTTAATAAATGTAATTTTTTATTTTTCTGTATATTTTAGGACGTAGGGAGTAACATAACAATCAAACTATCAATTCGACTATCCAATCTTTTAATTCTTTGATCGTTACTCCATTAATTATCCAATATCCACTTAACAGTTAACACCCAACTTCATCGCATCTCCCAACAAAATTTGCGACCCCTCCGACTCGGGAACAGAGAAATGACAAAATACTATCGTTAAACACTATGGATTTGGTGGCATGCCTTCACTTCACAATTGACCAAGACCCAACATGCACAATTAAATTATTAATTGATTTTTTTATATTAAAATACTCTAAACAATATATATATATATATATATATATATATATATATATATATATATATATATATATATATATATATATATATATATATATATATATATATATATATATATATATAAAATAAATCTGAATTATATCATATGATAATATTATTTTTACGCGAGAACATTAAAATAAATCTGAATTATTAGATTTTAAAATAAATGGTGAATATTAAAAAATATTTTTAAAATTTGATTAATAATATCTCTTTTCTCTTAATAAGATGTAAAAATCGTGATTTAATCTAAAATTTTCTTTTTTAAATCTAATGATTCTTATTCATTCTTATATTTTCAGGTAATTTATTCATTCTCACTAAATATGCACCTATATATATATATATATATATATATATATATATATATATATATATATATATATATATATATATATATATATATAATGTATCATATGAGAATTACATTTATACGTAAGAATATGAGAATGAAGCTAAACTATTAAATTTTAAAATAAATAAAAATTATGTAAAATCATGATTAATTATATATTAAATTATTGAAAAATTAAATTATATATATTTAAAATGCATATCATTTTTTGTATGGGGCAGTTGCTCTTTTATTATTAAACAAAAAAGTCATGAGTTCACTTGTAAAGAATTTTAAACATTGGAAATATATTATATTTTGTTTATTTAGTATATACAATATTTTTTTAAAATTGATTATCTTTAGTGTATATGTTTAAATAAAATATATATTTTTAACCTCTTAAATAATATTTAATTTATTATTTTAATCTTTTAACCAATATCTCGAGATAGTCACCATTTTAATCTCTTTAACTAGTTTTTGAACACTTAATAGCATTTTCAAAAAAAAAAAAAAAAAAAGCCAATTTATTAAAGAGAAGTATTTTGGCAGGATACATTTTTAAATTCATATCTATTTGATCTCACCAACCCTCTATTTATTTATCATAAATTAAAGAATAAATGTGAATTTTATATATTTATATATTTATTTATGGATCCAAAATAAAATAATATTATTTTATATTTTTTAACTTTAAGGTATATTTATTTTAAGATTGCCATAAGAGTTAGTGGAAAAGTAAGTTAAAGGAATACAACACTCTCATGATACAACTTTTTAAATATTATTTATTGATAGAAAGATTTCTGCATCATAACTTTTCAATTTTTTATTCTCATGTAAGGAATTTTTTATACGCAAAAAATAAAACACCACTAGTGCTAACCTCATTGAAAAAAAGAAAAAATTCCACCATTTCTTGAGTGAAGTGCTCAATTTTATTAATTTTAAAATAAAACTCTTCTTTAATCAAGTTAAAGTGTAAAACAAAAATTAAAAAATCAGGTCAGAGGCCATGACTTGTCTCTATCTCTGCTAGGAATTATAGCAGGAAGCAAAGCACAGAAACAAGCAACGTAATCACATTACCCTGTGAAAACAGAAATGTCAATTCTCTCTCCCACTTTCTCCCCAAAAAATGTAAACAAACTTGAAAAAATAATTTAATCATAAAACACAGTGTTCGCGTTAATTTAGTATTAAATATTTAAAATCATCAAGAAAATTGGGTTTAACTTCAGTAAAATATCACCAACCATTGAAATATCCTAATGTTTTGATTAATACCATTTTGCTTATAAAGAAACATGATGTAGAAAATATTAGTAAAAATGAATCAATCTTAGTAACTTCACTTACTGATCAAGGTTGATTACTTTATCCATGCCTCCAGAACGATCTTTACGAGTAGAATTAGCAAAAGAAGTTGAAGGTATAACCAAACGTGATTTTTGAATAATCCGATTATACCCTTCCATGTTCTTGTTGCTTCCTTCTCGTTCACCTTCATACACCATTTTCAAAATCAAACTAACATTCACAGCCAGCGATAAAATCAATAAGTGCCTCAAAGAAAGCATAGCCGGAAGTTTCGCCATAATCTACAAAACAACACACAACTGAAAAAGAAAAAAAAAACAAAGAACACTGAGAAAAAAAATTATATGTATGTATATATATATATATATATATATATATATATATATATATATATATATATATATATATATATATATATATATATAATGAAACTGTGGTCAAAGTTTGAAACTTTTTTTTTTCAAAAGCTGTTTCAAGAAATTAATGCTTACCTTGAACTTGGTTGTAAAGAAAATCACTTTTGTGACAAGTGTTAAAAGCTGTAGCTGAAATTGTGAAACTAAAACGGTTGTTTTGGGCAATGATAGATTATTTTAATGGTTATGTTCGAAGAGTGAAGTGTTTGAGGAGTGTTCAGAAAACAACTTGGTTACAGAATATGTATACGGGTGGAGCTTTGAACTTGAGTCCAAAAGGCTCAACCGGTTTCCATGGATATAAGTGGCAGTGGACAAAGAAATTTTATTTTAATCAACAAAGCCGAATGAATAGCTTATTTTAATGTTTTTATTTATTTATTAGAATTTTTCAGCTAGATAATCAACATTTCACCCCCTAAATTTCAATATACCCAACATTTTACGATATATATTAATCTATCTATGTTTCACATTTTTTTTTGTTAATTTGTCCATGAGCGTCATAGGTGTTATATAGGTGTTAGAAACATCCTTATAAATTATAGGGGGACGACATCTCCTTTAGAGACACCCTTATGGAATTTTTTCCTGTTTTGCCACAAGCCAAAAAATTATACACCAAAATGCCACACATTGAAAAAAAAATTCCACAATTGCCACTACTTTTACAAGGGTTCGTCCTATGGTTGGACGACCCATTGAAAGACTTTTACGCGCAGCATGGGTTCGGCCATCCATTGGCCGACCCTTAACTAGCTGCTTTTTTTTTTTGTTTTTTTTTAATTTTTTTTTATTTGATATATTATTTTTAATAATTTTATGTTTTAATAGTTTTTGATATATTAAAATTATTTAAATAATATTATATAATAATAAAAAAACAATTTAATTATTTAAAAAAAAACTAATATAATAATATATGTTTCACATTATATAATTAATGGTTAAATATAAATAATTGTTTTTTACATGATCTAATTAATTGTTTTTTATATATTAAAATTAGTTAAATGATATTTTATATTACTAAATAATTATATAAAATAATAAATTGAATCATAAAAAAAGAAAATATTATTAATATTTAAGAGTGGATAAAATACATTTTTAGACAGGCCGATTTGATGGGCCTGCCACGTTCGGACATTTCCTCCGCATATGACTGATTTCTCGACAAATCCCACATCTTCTCTTTTCTTTCTCAAAATCGTTCATTTCAGTTGTAATTCTTGTACTATTTGGACGCCCTTTCTTATTTCTTCGCATTGTCTCGTCATGGCAAAGAGTGAATCCTTCATATGTTGGCCAATTTTACTGGTGTGGTAGTCCAAGGAAGCTTTGGCTGTATACTTTTAATACACTTAGAACTTTGAAAACATCTGGTATGTGCATGTTATGGTCCTGTCGTATACTGGCACATGCTGCGATTACATGAGAGCAAGGTAAATGAAATGCCTGAAACCTCCCACAATCGCACCACCCTCTCCTGAGATCAACGCTAAAAGTACCTAATGGTCGGCCATCGCGTTGGTTAATGCTTTCGGCAACCATAAAACAGAATCTCTCGCGATCAAATTGAATGACATTATGGCTGCTAGATTTAATAGCCTCGTCGGCCATTCCCTTGATACAATTTTTCGTGAAAGTTTGACCGGATGCCAACAGTTTTGTCCAATCGTGTCCTCGTTTTCCAAACAGCGATCCCAGATGATAGTACGTTGACTTGACCAATGCTGTAATAGGAAGGTTTCGGGTAGCCTTAAGTACTGAGTTCATAGATTCGGCTAAATTTGTGGTCATGTGTCCCCACCGCTGTCCTCCGTCAAACGTCCTCGACCACTTCTCTCTGGGAATATTGTCAATCCACTCCAAAGCTGCTCTATTTGTTCTTCGTAATTCGCCTCTGTAGTAGTTAAATGTTGCCTCTGTTAGTGCATATCCTGAAAATAATTAAACAAATGATTAGTAAAACAAAATGATCAAAAAATTATCAATAAAACTTGTGAAGATGTAGACATACCCATGTTGACAACTGTTTTTCGTAGTGCTTTGTTTCTGAACTCACGCATGAAGTTTTGCGCAATGTGTCTGATACAGTAAACATGTGAAGATGGAGGAAACTGACACCCATTTTCAGGATCATCGTAAGCACTCTTGATTGATGGATGTCGGTCGGATATTAGACAAAGATTGGCCTGGGGGGTCACGTGCATTCTCAAATTCTTGAGAAAGAAACTCCAACCATCCTTTATCTCTCCTTCAACCAATGCAAACGCTATCGGAAAAATGTTACCATTTCCATCTTGTGCCACAGCCATTAACAAAGTCCCTTTGTACTTGCCGTACAACCAGGTTCCGTCAATTTGCACGATTGGTTTACAGTAACTAAAACCACGGATACACGGTTCAAATGCCCAAAAAAGTCGATGAAATTTTCGTTTGTCACCCAACTGGGTTCCGTCATCTGTAATAATCGGCAATGTTTCCAACTGTATAACAGTTCCAGGAAGATATGTCTTCAGCACCAACAACCATTGTGGTAGGTCATTGTAAGACGTCTCCCAATTCCCATAAAGTGCTTCTACAGCTTTGATATTTGCAATCCAAGCTTTCCGATATGAGATTCTATAACCGTATTTTTCAGCAATGTGGGCTTGTATAACTTTGACTTTCAGTGAAGCATCGTTGTTAACAAGTTCTCTGATGCTGTGGCTAATAATTTCAGAATCTAATTTTCTATGATCCTGTGACATAGAGGTTGTAGTGCAAGTGTGTGATCCCTTTATAGTAGCGATCTCCCATAATGTGCTTTTTTTACGCACAACAGCTCTACATTTGAAGACGCATTGTGGGTTCGTACATTTTATTATATACCTTACTGAATTAGATTTATATACTGCATAGTCAAGGTTGTTACTAATATGCCAATGTTGTAAAAAAAGAACACACTCTTCCTTATTTTCAAACACCAAGCCTACTTCCAATTTTTCACCATTATGGTTTGGTTTTTCATTTTCAAAAATATAGATGGGTTGAGAAGACTCCATACATATGTTTGACATATGCACCGGTGGATTGTACAGATTTATGGGTTGAGCATATATTACCTCTGACTGCATGAGTTCATCGTGACCCTCGCCATCGTCATCACCGAATAGATCTTCAAAGCGAACATCATCGAGCTCATCGTCACTGTATTCACCAACCTCCTCGTTCCGGATGAAAGGTTCATTATTTTGCGTTATTTCTTCATCAGTTGTTTGGCTCACCCCGTATTGATGCGAATATGATGATTGTGTTGGATATGCCTCGTCTTCAAGGCGAACATATATTTCAATCGTCTTCAACTGGGGCATTGTGTAATGACATTGAAACATTGATTTGACTGCGCTGTCTGTATCTATCTGCATCATTACATAGAACACACCATCATCTACCCCATTAGGTAATGGTTGACGGTAAGTAATATCCTGAACAGAATGATTCACTTTTTTTTTCAATTCTATCTTTTAGATGACAGATATCAGAACTTCGGTGAAGTTTGAACATCACCGTATCTGTTCCGTTGAATGAAAAACCGATATTTTCATCAGTAAACACGGAACCGTTATAGTGCATAGTGACCAATGTGTTTCTATCTGCCATGACTTATTTTTTGATACTAACAGTGTGAGTGTGTGAGTGGGAGGTAGATGTGTAGTCTACAACAATTGCATGTAAAATATATAGAAGAAGCGTGCATGTTGAGCAAGTTAAGGGACGTCCATTCAAAGGACGAACCCACACATGCATAGTTAAGGGTCGTCCAACACAAGGACGTACCAATTAATGTTTAGTAAAGGGTCGTCCAACTAAAGGACGAACCCATGGGGAACGTGTAGGGGTTCGGCCAACACAAGGGCGAACCATTAAAGAGGGCATTTTGCATGCAAGCCACTTGTCGTTGCATGCTTCTAGGGTTTGAAATATTAGGGTGCAGAAGAATCAATTAAGGCTGTTGAAAAATCATAGGGTGCAGTCTAGCATTGCATGCATATGAATTTCCAAAGGTTATTAGTGTGTATCATGTAATAGGAGTATCCATTTTTCTTATAAATACAATGTAAACCACATTTTAAAAATCACCACTTCAGCATATATCACTACTTACTTCTAAACCAATATTTCAATACTTTTAAATGGCAATGTTGTGGATGGGAGAAAATCATCGGGGAACACCGGCCAATATTGCCGCATTTGTATGTTATTTTTATTCACATGAGTGTTATTTATCTATTTGAATTTATTTGTTTGTATCTATTTCAATTATTCAACAAGTTTGTATTTATTTGTTTTTATATTTGAAACAGTCCGATAGCGAGAGATTTAGACTACATTCTCATGCTATCGATGCACCAAGCAATGCAATTAAACCGTTTTTGGAACAAGCGGGTTTCGCAAAAGTTGCAGAAATCTCCTCAATCAAAGTTGATTCAAAGCTTGTAATCGCTATGTTGGAGAGGTGGAGACCAGAAACACATACTTTCCATCTACCAACAGGTGAATGTACCATCACTTTGGAGGATGTGAGTATGTTATTGGGTCTTCGCGTGAATGGTAAGGCTGTGAGTGGTCCTACTCAGGTAGGAGGTGATGTATATATGGAACATTTAGGCATAGAACCTACAACATCTGATAAACATAAAGGGTTCGTTAAAATTGTTTGGCTACAAAGTACATTAGCACGATTACAACAAAAAGCAACACCATCCGATGAGGAAAATATTTTACATGCAAAAATATATATTTTATTACTCATAGCTAAAGTATTAATGCCAGACAAGAGCCATAACTATTTACATTCTTCTTGGATACCCCTA